AAGAAAGAAAAGGAGGAAGACTATTGACAAAGAACCAGGTGGCAATGCGCAGACAATAAACAAGGGTCATTAGGGAAGAAGGAAAATTGCCTCAGAAAGAACCATCCACCCCAGTAAAAACCTCTTGATCTTCACCAATGCTCAATGTCTAAGACCTCCTTTGCTTTGAGTCCTGGTTTACAGTGTCCCTGCAAAGGCCAATGGCGATGTTTCCCTGTGTGTCTGGTGTGGAAATTTTATCATGAAATTCAGAAACAATCTGCCCCCTCACCTTTCATCTTCCCAGAGCTACCTCGCCCCTCTTCCCCATGGGGGCCTCCTCAGAAGAGAGAGGGAGCAGGGTAGTCTATGACCTGCGTCCCTGGGATCCAGACTTTCATATCTGAAATCTCCCTGGACTAAATCCAGAAAGATAACTCTATCATTTCAACCTGATGACTGTCTGGTGACCAAGGTGAGGTACGTTAACGGTAGCAACAGCTGATAACCCCTGCAAATGTTTATTGACTACCCACTGAGAGGTGGCCGGTGAACAGTGAATTCCTGGCCGTGTTGCCCAAAACAGCAAGGCTGACTTGGCCAATGCCCTCCTCAAGTTGAAATTTCATGATGTTGGAACTGGCAGGTTCGTAGAGACCATCAAGTCTACTCCATTCCACCGCAGCAGATGAGAACATTGAGACCCAGAGAGGGCTCATACTCACACAAGGTTACACAACTGTCTCTATCCCTGCCTCAAACTCAAAGCCGCGGGTGCTTTCCCCTGCGGTCATGCTGACATCTCACTGCCTTCTGAAACCTGGGAAACCTGGTAGAGCGACTTTTTTAAAAATATGTCTATTTCCCTCTGTTACAAATATAACCACCAACATTTTCTGGCTCTTCCTCTCTGCCAAGTACTAGTAGAAGAGCTCTCTGTAAATTTACTCACTGTATTCTCACAACCACCCAAGGGGACAGGTTACAATGAGTATCCCCACTTCACAAATGGAACCCTGAAGTGGAGAGAGGTCACACAGCCGGGCAGAGGCGGGCTGTCTAACGAGACAGCCTGGCTCCAGAGTCCCCACTCTTAACCACTTTGCTATAGTTCATGAAGGATAATTTCTTTAAATCATAAAATGATGGAAGAAAAGGAGCAAGCCGTAAGCACAAAGGGCATGATCACTCGTGTTTGAAAATGAATTTCCGAGCTAAACCATAAGTTCCATTAATATACGTAATAGATCTCTTGATCACCTATTTATTAAGTTGAGGGAAAGTCTATGCATACCAAAAGAAAATATACAAAGCATATTAACATTTTAAGCATTTTTTGAAAGGCGGAATGATCTACCTGAGATAGGCAGAATGTATTTGAGCGCTGGTTTTAGAGGGGTCTCTTCTGGACATGCCCTGGAAAGTGAAGGTGTTGCCGACCTCACCTGTGCTGGCCTTCACTATTGGACACAAGATGTCCCCTCTGCTGTTAAAAGAATATTACCCCTTCATTATTTCTACAGTCATCCAGCCTCAAATTGACAGTTAAGGAAAAGATTAAACTAAAATAAGAGAAGACACCTCTGAAGACAAATAAAAATATATCTGATATAAGTGTTCAAAACCAAGATCACTGAAACAAAAACCCTATATTCACTTATATTACTTTTATACTTGCCCTGATATTTAAAATGATGTCAAATCTCATTATCTTGGTTATCCAGGAGAAGAAATCCAGGAGCAGTAATGGTAGAAATAAACAAATTACAATTGTGCCTAAGATCAAATTTCAAGGGGAAAACTGCAGTCAATTAAGAAGATGTATTATCACATTAAAAAGTTACATGACATTTTACCAGCCAAATTATCTTAGTATCAAGTGTGCAAAAGTCCACTCAAAATGCAACAGATCCCAAAAACTCTGAAACCGGAAAAGTATTGCCTTAAACATGAAATCCACAGTCCAGAGAATTAAAGCAAAGAACAGCGTTGGGAGCATAGTGGACCTTCAAGTATTTGTTGAATGAATGTACATGAAGAAAATGGTGACAGAAAGAGGAGCATGAAAGAAACTGTGAAAATGGCTAAGGCAGCGTGACACTGCTTTGAGCTTTTGAGAACTTTTTAATACCAGGAAAGTAACAGAAGGACTAAGGAATATAGATACTGGACAAAATGACAGACTGCTATATCCAATCAGGGCAAAATGTTGGGTGGTAGAGGACCTGACCTGCACGTCTTAAGAAAAATATCACCAAGCCTAGCTTTGCCTAAGTAAGGGCTCTGGACTCCAGCCCTACAGAGTGGAACCACATTTACAGGACAGCTCTAACATGGCAAAATTCCCTGGATTGGGTGCGTTTCAAATACAGCACTGGTGTGTGTGTGTTTTAAATTTAGAACTCTCAATAGTAGTTGCCCAGTTTGACCCATCTCTTCATAACAAATCTTATTTAAGGTTACGGGGTGGGGGGCGGGGGAAGAGATCCTATAGCTTCTCAGCTCCACTAAGTACAAATGCAATTTGACAAAACCTACATAAGCCAGATCTGTCATATCGAATCAGTAAATTAAAGCATGATAAAATTACAGTCAGGCGGGGAGTTCCAGGATAATTTGGAATCTGTGCAGTACCATCCTAGCCATGCCCCAATCATAAAGTATTTTCCAACATTTATGTAATAAATCTTTTCTGGGGAGTCAGTGTTGGTTAGGATCCTGGCAGGACTTAAGGTTGGAGCTTAAGTACCAGTATAGTGGTTACCAGTTTTGTACAGAATGTTTAATATGAAAGTAATCTTATATTCCACCATTTACTTTAATACCTATTTAGAACACATTTCCTTTTCTCACGTGGCATATACGAAAGGAGGTCATATATCAGAGCTCACCTGAAATTCCTGCCCAGTGTAAGTCTTAGCCACAGCAGTAATTTCTTATAAGCACAATGGGAAAATATTCCAAACTCCTCTGCAGCGTTCACATAACTTTTAAAAAGGTTTTGTGAAACCCAAGTGAGGCCCCTGATGAAATTTCATAGAGCCTCGGTTACCAACTGCAGGCATAGCTCGTTTTATTATGCTTCACTTTATTGCATCTCACACATGTTGCTTTTTGTTGTTGTTTTTAACAAATGAAGGCAAGACCTTCCACCAGCGAGAGAGAGAGAGAGAGAGAGAGAGAGAGAGAGAGAGAGAGAGAGAGAGAGAGATTGCAACTCTCTTTGTTGCAATACTCTCTTTATTGTGGAGGTATGGAATCAAACCCAAAATACTTAGGAGCTACTCAGGTACTGTTGTCCTCCTTGTTTCTAAACTGCTTAAAGGACAGGACAGGTGCTTCAAAGGAAAGGCTACTGGCACACCTGTTGCATAACTCATTCTTGGTTAGCCAGGTTTTGATAAGGAAGAAAATACAGTCAGAAGCAGGACAAACACTGATTCTCTGTTCTCCATTCTCCCATTAGCCAGGACATGCTTCTGAGTCACACACCCAGTAGCCAGCGGTGCCTTGGTTTCCCTAACCACTACACAGGAGGTCTGATGCGACGCACATTCTTACTTGACCAAAGTTAGCGAGCACACTCACACAGAAAGTCCACATCAGAGCATGACATTGAAACACTGTGTTGTATAAGTTCCAAAGGCTTTTGCAGTATTCATTTCTTTTCCTCCAAAGACTCCAAAGGGGTTAGCTTGACCATTCATCAAGATCAGGCAAACACCAATGTGCTTTAAGAACCTGTACACAAAAACCCAGAACCGGTATATAGAAACCTTCCTGGGTAAAGTTACCACTCTGCTTGGATAATCCAGTGCAAAAGAGCAACCCACAGAACGCAACAAGGACAGGTCTTTTATTTTTGCTTTTGTTGTGAAAACGGGATTTTACTTCCCCTGACAGCTTCCGGGCCTAGGAACACTTGATGACAAAGTTTCAGAAAACCGGAGACCCCGTGGGACCCCAATGATTAGTTCTTTCTGAACGTCGTACTTTTCCGTGTTTCTTACCCAGTTGGCACTGGTCTGGTGGCTCACCTCCATAACTCTGGGTCTGCGGATATTTGTCGAAGCCCAGGCAGGGGTCACGGAGGAAGATGTGCGCAAACACAGATGTTGCTGCCTTTGCTTGACCCACCCAGGTGCAGCCAATGGGGGCAGGCTGTGCGCTCCGAGGGAGCAGATGCCTTCTCTCCTGGAAATCTAATTGGTGTCTGGGAAACCAGAGCTGGGTTTCCAAGGCGGCCTGAGCACCAGCTCCCACGCAGCCCTGGACAGGCCAGGGTGCCACGCACAGGCCCATCATTATGACCCCTGCGGAAGCTCCAAGCACGGGAGGGTGAGGGTACCACCACCCACACCCCGGGTGTTCAAGGGACAAACCAATCTATAAAATAAGCATCAAGAAACCCAACAGAATTCTGACCGCCTCTCCTAACTGTAGATACCTTTTAAGACTCAGCAGATGTTACTACACGAAAGAAAGGTTATGGCCTCTGTCCGGGCTTGTGCTTGGTCTGCTTTCTGGGGGACCCGGCCCCGCCGGGCACCCTCCACCCGGAGCCGGAGCCGAGGCACCGATGGGGAGAGGAGACCCCCCAGCTTTCGAGCATCTCCCTTGCCCGCCGCAGGAGTGCCATTTCTTTCCCCAGCGTCCGAAGGGCACTGGCCGGGCTTCCACCCACCCATCCCGGTCCCCGGAGGTGGGGTCGAGAGGGGCCGCCACCGCCTCCTGGGTGCGCAGCGGCTGTGCCGCCCCGGCGACCTCGCGCTCCGCAGCTGCCGCCGCGCCGAGCGGTGCAGCCCTTTGCACTTGTTGCCGCTCCCGAAGGGCCGGGAGGCGGCGGCCATCCCTCGCGCCGCCGAGTCCGCAGCAACACCCCCTCTCCACCTCGGCTGACCCTCGCCGCCCCCGGGATCCGGGAGAAAGTAGCTCCGCGCCGCGAACTCAGGTGAGGCGGCACAAGTTCTGCGCCCAGGGCTGCAGAGAGGCGCCGGGGATGGAGCCCCGAGATCACCTACCTGGAGCGGTGGCCCCGCAGCCTCCGCAGCCGAGCGAGGCGCTGCCCCCGCGCCCTGCCCGCGGGCGCCCGGAGCCGGGAAGGCTCTCCGAAGCTGCCAACGCCCGGCGGCGACCCGGCGGCCAGCGCGGAGGGGCGGAGCCGCGGCCGCGCGCCCAGGCCGGGGTGGCGGCGCCGGCGCTGGTGCCGCCCCCGCTCCCCGCTCCCCGCTCCCCGCTCCCCGCTCCCCGCTCCCCGCTCCCCGCTCCCCGCTCCCCGCTCCCCGCTCCCCGCTCCCCGCTCCCCGCTCCCCGCGCGCCTGCCGGCTGCCACAGGATCCCGGCCTGCCCGCCGCCCGCCCGGCATCACATGGCCCGGCCCGCCCGCCGCCGCGCCCGACACCGGCTCCAGGAGGAAACCTGAAACCCCGCCTGAGCTGCCTCCGCCAGCCCCTCCCGCCGCGGGGCGGTGGCCCGCTGGCCTCGGCTTCCCACCCGGGCACGGAGCGCCCCGGTGGGCGGAGGCTGGCGCGGCCCTGCCCGGCCAGAGGAGGGCGAGGTTGCGCCCTGGTGGCGGCGCCCGCGCGCCCCGGGCTCCCGTGGGCCTCGCTTGGCGCTGCCTGAGGAGCTGGCCTGCCCGCTCCCAAAGAACTTGTGCCAGGCCCCGGCGAGGCTTCGGCTGCCCTCTGCCCAAAGCCACCGCGCCTGTGACACAGCGTGGCCCAAGTATGACTTTAAAATCTTGAGGCTCATGTTCCTCTGGGCCAGAGCTGGGCAAGCTGAGACTCCTTGGTGTTCATACACCCAGGTGGCTCCAAGAGAAGTCTTCCCTAATGCAAACATTCCCATGAAAACTGCAACCTGCTTTTACAATGTGAGAGGGACTCCCTTACCATGCAGCGTGCTTTCTCAGTTAAAACCATCACAGCCCCAAGCGGAGAACCCTCTCCATCCACCAGGCCTTCATAAAACAGACTTCAGACAATGACAGCAGCACGAAAGGCAAAAATCCCAATTTGACTTTTCTTGTCATTAACATGAATCTCTCATTTGTTTTTCCTGCAAAGCCCTGCTGCCCACAGGACCAGGACAGGGGTATGGCCTGAGGAAGACTGGCCACAGAGGCACCAAGCCTGAAGGGAGCACATGCCCCAGTTGTCACCAACACCTCTCCTGGCCACCTCAGCCCCCCTTCACCTCCTCACCTTGTCCAGCCTACCTTGGGGACAAGAGTGAGGCAGAAGATCTGCCCTGCGTCCGAAGTCCTTAGCTCTGCTCCAAGGCAAAGGTGGTGCATTCTGCTTAATACAGAGAACCCAAATTGGCATTGCGTGCCTGACTTTAAGCTGCAATCCCAGTTGATTCTGTTTCACCAAATCCATGAACCCAAGGCTTGGCCTCATGTACTGCCTTTTAAAGAAAAAAGAAGTTCCTTCCCATTGCCAGAACGTCAAGATACTCAAGACAAAAATAAAAACAATAATATCCTTGTCAAAAATATTTTCCCCCAAGATGCCCTAACCAGTGTGGCTCAGTGGATAGAGCGTCGGCCTATGGACTGAAGGGTCCCAGGTTCGATTCCGGTCAAGGGCATGTACCTTGGTTGTGGGCACATCCCCGGTAGGGAGTGTGCAGGAGGCAGCTGATTGATGTTTCTCTCTCATCGATATTTCTGACTCTCTATCCCTCTCCCTTCCTCTCTGTAAAAAATTAATAAAATATATCTTTAAAAAAAATATTTTCCCCCAAGAAATACAATTTTTTAAAATTTTCCAATCCTAAAACATCTACTGAAGATGAAGATGAACTGAATCCACACACCAGACAAAAATGGTTTCCAGACTGTGGTAAGCAAAAACATGGATGCGTTAGTGGCCTTTGTTGTTGTTCTCCTTTTTACATCACTAGTATGGAATCACTGTATTTTCGTTTCTTTCTTCTCCCCACCACCATTCCCAACCCCCCCCCCCCCCCCACTTCATGAATTGTCAGATATGTAAATAGAAAAATGTGGGAGGAGGAACATCTATTCTAAGAAGTTGCCCCAAAACTCCATACCCACAAAAAAGAAACAGGCAAAACTAGTCACTGTGAAACCCTCACCAGCTGAAGACACACAATCATGCTATCTGCAGTTTTCTTGCCTTCTCTCAAGCACTGAGCTTGATCAATATTTAAATAAGTACTTGGCTTTCAACTTCTCTAGGTTCAAATATTAAGCAAAGTGTACTCTAGCAACCTTAAAAGCAGAGAAAGTAGGAGTCAGGAAGCTATCAGTTGTGTAAATAACCCTTTGCATCTGATTGATTTTGCTGCATATAAGTCACTCAGGACACTGAGATAGTGCTACGCTTGGCTGGGACAGTGATTGTTTAATTCAAAGACTCCATATTCTCTCAGTCCCCAGACATAGGGACATTCAGCCAACAAGAACCCAGGTTGTCAATTCAGTTGAGAAGCTAACTTCTTAGGGAGTCTCATGCCAGCGTCCCAGCTGAGCTCTGTCTTATTCATTCTCCACTCATCCTTCCAGACTTCAGACAGGCCTCCTGCTAAATCCTTTCTTCGCTGTTCTGGTTCCTGACAGCCTCTGAACGCTGGCAGAGCTTAATGACCTTATCACACATTTTAGCACCTGATTATATTCACTGTCATATGTTGGACATTACAGGTTCCTATCCTCTCTTCAACTTCTCATTTCAAGGACAAAGACTCTTTCTTATCCCAGTGATCTCCACGGTCCTAACACAGAGCACCTCTGGAGTACTGACTATTTGTATAGAGACCCTAGCTCTGGAGTATTTAACATCTATTTTTGTTTGTTTGTTTGTTTTTTATTTTGTTTTGCCAGTTACATATTTATAAAAAGATACTCCCCTGACACATTGGCGGGGGGGGGGGAGGAGGAGGGGTTTTGGGGTTTTTTTTAAGTGTACATATTTATTCATTTATTTTAAAAACATAGCCAATAAGTACTTACTATAAAAAAGAATCAGAAAATACAAATAAATAAAACAAAATTAAAGGCAGAATCCACCCAGATAGCTTTGCTGAAGTGAAATAGACAGGCACTGTGATTAAACCAGATCTGGTGCCCCATGCTCAAAGTGGGCCTACCTTTCGGTCTGACCAAGCGCAGTTGAAGGATTACTTTTTTATGGAATAATAGACGTGGTTTAAAGATTTAAGAAAATAGAGTAAATCACAATGGTATCCCGAGGCAATGAATGTGTAGGACCTATTCACTATTAGAGAAAAAGCCGGGCAACACCACTAACCGGGGGCAGCTGCCTGGCAGAGCAAAAAGCCTGTGGGATGCACTGTGGGCTACACTATCAGACAGCCTGGAGTTGAGTCTACCTACTGTTTGGAAATGGGGTGATATTGGACCAGTTATATGACTTCTCTGAGCCTCAGTTTCCTCACTTTTTTATTGAATTTATTGGGGTGACATTGGTCAACATGAACATATAGGTTTCTGGTGGGGGTTACCATAGTGCACCGTGTGCCCACCACCCAAAGTCAGATCTTCTCCTGTCACCTTTTATTAGGACCCCCTTCCTCCCCACCCTCTTCTGTCTGACAACCACCACACTGCTGTTTGTGTTCACGAGTTTCAGTTTTATATCCCACATATGAGTGAAATCATATGGTTCCTAGCTTTTTCTGACTTAACTTCACTTAGCATAATATTCTCAAGGTCCACCCATGTACATTTGTGTTTTTTTAAGTGAACTATCACATCAGTTATGCAGGAAGGATAATGTATATCACAATTTTTTAACTTTTTTTTTAATAGATTATAAGCACTCCAAATTCTATTACCTACTTAATTCTTTCCTGCTCTTCATTCTGTTTCCTTTGCCAATAATTCTGTGATTAAATAATTGTAAATCTCATGTTTGGCATTAGGACAAAAAGGAGAGAACTATTCACATTGTTTAAGAGGTCTTGACATTTCTGAATATTTTTAATAAATTGATATTTATTGTGCACCAACCACACACAAAATATATTTTGCAATCTTTTAAGAAAAGACTAGACAATTTCTAGCCAGTTTTAAGTGTGAGATCTTCCCTAAAGGGACAGTACAGACTCTCAACCAGGGCCAACTTCACTAGGCACAGCAGGTTCAGTGCCCAGGGACCATAGTACTTTTAGGATCCAATGAAAATGTTCTAATTTCTCCCGCCAGTGTTGCTCAGTAGTTGAGCATTGACCCATGAACCAGAAGGTCACAGTTTGATTTCCGATCAGGGCATATGCCTGGGGTGTGGGCTCGATGCCTTGGGGGGAGGGGGGGCGCATGCAGGAGGCAGCCCATCACTGCACTTGACCTTTTTGACTTGTGAAGAGCCAGTAAATTCTATTCTTGATCCACCCAAGGAACGGCAGAGGTTTTCCCTAAGATCTAGAACAGCCTTCATCTCAGAAAGTGATTGTTTATTTGCATCACTGGTTTGGGTTTTTTCCTTGTCATAATGGCTCCAGCTGTCCTCAAGTTGTAGTTGATGTCTTAAATTTTAAACCAACTCAAAGGTCCATTTTTGCTCTCCAGGGCATAACTGTACCAGGCAGGCCAACTGGAGAATGCCCCAAATGCATCTATCTGTAAATCTCCATAAGTCAGCAATTTTGGTTTCAAAAGCACCACTAGAGTGTACAGGTCTGGGGTATGGAGCATAACATCCCAATATCTAGCATTTCTCCAATCCCCTGCCACCTGCTGAACACTCAGATGAACATATTAAATCCCAGCCTGGAGAAGTTTTTAGTTACGTAATAAAAGCCCTTAAAAAAGCAGAGTTGATAATAGAGATACTAACACCATTTTAATTAGGGAGATGCAACTACTAGTCACTGATAATACAGGTGGGAAATAATGTGTGTGCAACTGTCACGTGGGCTGTAATTATCTTTAAGACTTCTGGTGGCACACAGGTAGTGAGAATGAAGCTTCAGTGCCTTGCACCTGACATCATTTGGAAGCCTCAAAATGCACATATAGCTTTGGGCAGCTACTACTCACTCAAGAGGCTCGAGATCCTGTTTTTCTATTTACAAAGGGCAGGCAGAGGAAAGGAAAAGACAGGAAAATCTCTAAGTTAAGTTGGTATGAATCAGTTCACACACACACACACACACACCCCTACATACAAATATTTTAACTCAGCCTTTTAA